CACTTCACACCACCCCATAGCCCACACTCCTGTAGCCCTCCAGCCCCACGGCGGCCCCACTCACGGAGCAATGTCGGGCAGCACGATCTGGTCACTCAGCACCGGTCCCATGGGCACCCGTTGCCCTTCCCGCACTCGTGCCCCCAGGGGGTTCTGGGACCCAGGGGGCAGGGTGTGATGTGGGGCCCCGACCCACGGCACCCAGGGGGCCACCCACAGCCTGGCCCCGGAGTACTCACTCCAGCCCCATAGGGCTTTCCCATAGGACCACCCCAAACCCATAGGGAGAACCCCATAGCCCCAGCCCCATAGGGACAACCCTATAAGGCCACAGCTGCCACAAGGACAACCCAACCCCATAGGATTTCCCCATAGCCCCAGCCCCATAGGACCTCTGCAGCCCCATAGGCTACACCATAGCCCAGCCCCATAAAACCATCCCATAGGCTGCCCCAACCCCATAGGGCCGCCCCCCAGCCCCTCACCGTGATGGTGACCAGGATGGGCTCCGTGTTTGGGCGCAGGTCGGGGTCCAGGGAGAAGACGCGGAACCGCACTGCGGAGGGGTGGGATCCGTGGGGCAGGGGTATCCGTGGGGCAATTTGTTGTGATTATTGGTGCTTTTGGGGTGATTTGGGTGAGTATGGGGGGAACTTGGAGGCATTTAGGGTGAATTTCTGGGATTTGGGGGAGTTTTGTGTGAATTTTGGTGATTTCAGGGTAATTTGGAGGGATTGGGGGAGTTTTGTTTGATTTTGGGTGTTTTGGGTAAATTTGAGGTTGGTTGAGAGACCTTTGTGGAATTTTTGATTATTTCAAGTTGGATTTGTGGTGATTTCTGAGTGGATTTGGGAAGTTTTGGGTGATTTGGAGCTAATTAGGGCATTTTGGGGGGATTTGGGGTAATTTTGGAGTGATTTGTGGCAATTTGGGGGTAATTTGTGGTTTTGTTGTGATTTTAGTGTATTGGGGAAATTTGGTGGTATATGGTGTAATTTGGGGATATTTGGGATTTGAGGGTGATTTATGGCTATTTCTGGCACTTTGGGGTGTAATTTTGGAGTGATTTTGTCATGATTTTGGTGTTTTGGGGTTTTTGGGTGATTTGGGGGTTATTTTGGGGTAGTTCTTGGTAACTTTTGGTGATTTTGGTATGATTTTGGTGTATTTGGGATAATTTTGGAATGATTTCTGGATTTTGGGGTAATTTGGGGATAATTTAGGGTAAATTTGCTGTGATTTGAGGTGATTTTGTTTGTTGTGATTTTGATATATTTGGGACAATTTTGGGGTAATTTGGGAGCATTTGTGGGTGGTTGTGGGGGTTACTTGGGGATAATTTGGGGTGATTTTTGGTGCTTTGGGGATAATTTTGGGTTCATTTTGGTGGGATTTGTGGGATTTGGAGTAATTTTGGTGTGATTTGGTGTGATTAGTGGTAATTTTGGGGTATTGGGGGTAATTTGAGGTGATCTTGGTATGTTTGGGATAATTGTGGCATGATTTGTTCAATTTGGGGTAATTTTGGGTCTATTTGGGGGGATTTAGGGTGCTGGGGGGGTGTCTCACCTGTCTGCCGTGGAGCATAGAGGGGTTTGTCGGTCTGGAGCAGGAGCACCCCCCGGGGTCCCCCCAGCCCCACACGCACCCTCTGGGGGAGTAAGTGGGGGCTTTGGGCCTCCAGCAGCAGTGTTGGCTCCACGGCGGCCTCCAGCGCCCCACAGCGCCTGGCCTGCTCCGGGGTCACCTGGGGGCAGGGCATCACTGGGACTCGGGGGGCCATGCAGGTCCATGAGGTCCCCCTGCCCCATGGGGACATCTCCATCCCCACACGCCCCCTGCCCCCAACGTGGCCCCCTGCCCCACAGGAATGTCCCCATCCCCACGTGCCCACCACAATGTCCCCTGCCCCATGGGGACGTACCGATGCCCCCTCGCTTCCCTCTGCCCCCCAGATCCCCACACCTCAATGTTCAGGATCTGGCTGAAGTCGTTGTGGGTTCCAAGGTCGAAGCGGACCGGGAGGGCGCAGGGTGTCCCCCCACGGTCACTCTCCCCGGGCCAGGCTGTCACCGTCCCTGTCACTGGCCCCACGGCCGCCACCAGCAGCCCCACAGGGGTCCCCAGGGCCACGAGTCGAGGAGCCACCAGCACCAGCCTGGGGAAGACACAGGCTGCCCCACAGACCCCTCCACCCCAGGAGTGTCTCAGAGCCCCCGCTCCGCCCCTGCCCCACAGGTACCCCACATATGCCTTGATGCTCCCCCCTGCTCCATGGCTGCCCCATAGCTGTGTCATAGCTCCCCCCACCCTGTAGAACCCCCATAGCCCATCTCGGCTCTGTAGCTACCCCATAGCCCTTCACAAACCCCATAGGACCTTAACAGCCCCCCTAGCACCATAGGTGCACCATAGTCACAGCCAGCCCCATAGCTTCTCCCAGCCCCATTGCTGCCCCAGAGCCCTCCATAGTCCCTCAGCCCTATAAGTGCTCCGTAGTCACACTCAGCCCATGTCCCACCTTCCAGCCCCATAGCTGCCCCAGAACCTCCCATAGTCCCTCCAGCCCCATATGCCACCCCAGCCCCATAGTCCCTACTCAGGGTCCTGGGTGCTGCCCCCAAGGAGAGACGGGAGGAGGAGGAGGACAAGGATATCCAATGCCCAACATGGCCCCATGGCAGCGCTGGTGTGGGGCAGCCAGGGCAGGTGGTAGAGGGTGAGTGAGATGGGGATCAATCATTAACCAGGGTTCCCCTGCTGGCTCCACGGCCACTGACCCACGGGTGGGGTCATGTGATTGTGGGGAAATGGCTCTGTGTGATGTGGGGGCTATGGGGCAGGGGGACTCAGTGATGGGGGGCAACAGGGGGTCCTATGGGGTCTGTGAAAACTTATGGGGTGCTATGGGGTTTGCGAGAAGTTTTGGGTCCCCATGGGGTCTGTGAGAAGTTATGGAGCCTCACAAGGTCTGGAGGACAAGGGTTGAACCATGGGATTGAGGCTGAATGTGGTGTGTGAGTCCCACCAGACCCCTCAGGTGACCCTTGGTCTTGGGACACTTCCCTGCGTTGAACCTGCTGAGGTACCTCAGGGCCCATTTCTCCACCTGGTGAGATCCCTCTGGGCAGCTACACAATCCTCTGGGCTCTCAACTTCTCCTCTCAGTTTGGTGTCAAACTGGTGGCAGTGGGACACACACATGCTGTCCCACCAGCCAGACCATGGATAAAGATATGGGGCAGGTATTGACCCACATGGGGTGGGGCCCAGACTCTGTGGTGGAAGGTGTTCAAGGTCCTACTGACCAGCTGGAAGATGACCCTCCAGTGTCTCCATGTGTTCCTCCAGGCTCTACGGGGGTCTCCCCCCTAGAGAGGGCCTAGAGGGCCTCTACTCTCCATCTCCCCACACCTGCTGAGCGAGTGGGGGCTGGGTGTTGTAATCACTGATGATGTCACCTATGAGGTTGCCTGGCAAAACCTCCCTCTCCTACCACCAGGTCATGTCTGATGTCATGTGGAGGTGGCAAATCCATCCTACCCTCCCGCCCCCTTCCCCATCATGTCTCAAACAGGAGCTGCAGTTGGAAGGAGGTGGGATGGGTCCCACCCCACCACAATGTTACCCTGCAACCACACGGTGACACCCTGAGGAGACACTGGTGACCCCCTTGGGATCCCTCGTGGTGACCACTGGGCCATCTCTGCTGATACCTCCAAGGACCCTGTGGGTACTCGCTCCAAATGCCATGGGGACACCCTGGCTGTGGCAGTGACCACACCCACCCACCTCGTGGGAGGTCCCCCTGGTGACAACCCAATGATGCTCCAGGCACCCCAGACTTGTCTGAGACCCTCCCAGTATCCCCTAGTCTCCCCAGAACCAGCCTCCTGAGACCACCCAATCCCCTGCTCTCTCTTCCCACCCTGGACGCCCTGGGTCCCCTCCCAGAGAGAGGGACACAGGTGACATCACCGTCCCAGAGAACCCCTGGGGGGTCCCAAATTGTCGTGTTTCTCCTCCATCCTTCTGTGGTGGGTGACAGGGTGGATGTGGCCACCAAGAGGACATGGGAGGGAGCGAGGGAGGGAGGAAGGGATGAATGGAGAGATCGATGGAGGAAGGGATGGAAGCAGGGATGGAGAGATGGTAGCATGAAGACATGGATGGATAGATGGATGGATGAAGAGGTGGAGGGATCAGGAGAGATGGTAGCATGAAGACATGGATGGATAGATGGATGGATGAAGAGGTGGAGGGATCAAGGGAGGGATGGATGGAGGGAGGTTTAGCGGGTGCAAGAGATGGAGAGATGGATGGAGGGAGAGACGAGGTGGGGGGGGTTGGAGGGGGCTGGAGAGTCAGAGGGATGGAGACATGTATGGAGGAGGGGATGGAGAAACAGAGAAGAGGACAGATAAACAGTGGGAGGGGTTTGTTTTAGGGGTCTCCACTGTGCCCAGCTGCCCCCCTCCCCACACCCTCCCTCCCCATCATGCCCTCCCCCCCTTCCTCTTCCATCATTGTTTCCCCCTCACCCCCTGTTGTCCCTCCCCCCTCCCCTTCCCTCCAGCTCCTTTCTCCCGGCGTGGTCCCCTTGGCTGTGGTCCCTCGGGAGCTGCCAGCAATGGCCGAGATCTCCAGGAGCCGCGGCAGGAGAGACCCCATGGTGCCGTGGCGCAGGCCCCGTCCAGCACAGGCATAGAGGAGGGGGTTCATTGCGCTGCTGAGGAAGGCCAAGGCAGTGGCTGGTGGCCGTGTGGCTTTGGCAGCCACTTCCAAGATCCCCCCATCCCCTTGGAGGACTGCTGCCACCTCCAACAAGCTGGCCAAGTGGTAAGGTCCCCATGTGACGGCGAAGGCCACCACCACAGCAGCCACCAGCCGGAAGGTGTGATGACGCCGGGCCAAGCGGGTCTGGCGTAACCGACAGATCAGTAGCCCGTAGCCGACAGCTATGGTGGTCAACGGTAGGGCCCAACCCAAGATGGTCTCCAGAAGGTTGTGGACCACCAACCAAGCCTTTGTGCCATGCAGCCGCTTGCAGTGCCTGTCCTTCACCTGGTGGAAGGGAATGGATGGGGTGGCCAACACCAAAGCTACCAACCAAGTCACAATTGCTGCTCCATGAGCCAACCTTCCAGCACGGTCACCTGCTGTCACCACCGTCGTCGCTGGCCTGGAGACTACCAAGCACCGATGGAGACCCAGAAAAGCGATGAGGAAAATGCTGACATACATGGCAGCGGCACAGAGGTAGTTGCACCCACGGCAGACGGCCAAACCCATGTTCCATTGGCCAATGCTCAAGGCCCGGATGTAAATGGGACCGGTGAGGAGGGTGACCATGTCGGCCAAGGCCAAGTGGAAGATGAGGAGGACAGGGACGCTGCGCCGGTGGGTGATGGCACAGCTCCAGAGGACGATGGCATTGCCTGGCAGCCCCATCACCACTGCCACCGACAGCAGGGCCAGCCCTACTGCTGCGCCGGGGACAGGGGCAGTGGTGGTGTTGGTGGGGAATGAGGTGTTGGCAGGGAATGAGGACATCAAGGCAGTAGTGAGGAGGGGCTGTGGGGAGAGGAGGAACAGAAGCCTCTGGAAAAAATGCAGGTCTCCCTCCATCCAGACTTCCCTTCCTCCCTCTATCCATCTGTCCATCTACCCTTTCTTCCCTCCTTTCATCTGTCCTTCAGCCCTCTAACCCGACTCCCATCTCACCCTTCCCCATGGCCCCTCCCTTTCTCCTCCATCCCCTACCCCTCCTTCCTTCTCCCCACTCTCTGAAGTCTCCTTCCTTTACCCCTCTTGGCTCTTTCCCACCCAGACCTCCCAGTTACCCCCCTAGATCACCCAGTGGGCCACCACACCATCCATTTTCCCCCCTCAAACCTCCCAGTTTCCACCTCCCCCAGACATCCTAGTTGTCCACCCAGATCTTCCAGTTGGCCCCCTAGACCTCCCAATCACCCTCCAGACCTTCTAGTCATGTCCCCCATATATTTCAGGTGCCCTCCCTCCTCCAAGAACTCCCACTGCAGCCTTCCCTGCTGTACCTTGGGGACTCAAATGTCCTTTCCAGAGCTGCTGGTGGATCCTCAGTGTCCTTGTCACCACCAGTGGCTGTGACCGTTAGGTGCCTCTTCCCCTCCACCAAGCCCCAGGCAGGAAGTGCTCATGCAAGAGGAAGGAGGCAGGAAAACCACGAGGGGATAAAGGGGACGTGGTGGGGGAGGGATGTTGGACCTTAATTTGTATCCTAGGGGGAAGTGACAGGAGTGGTGGCATTGCCCCTGGGAGGAGGTGGTCTGGTTGCTCCATCACATGGTTATGGGGGTGTGGAAAGGACAGGGAAGGTATGGTCATGCATGGTATGGTCAATGTACCTTCTTTTTCCTCCCTCCATCCCTCCCTCCACACCCCTGTCTCATTTTGGCCAAGAAAATGAGGATTTGGACACTGCAAATTATGGTTTTGTCCTCAAAATTGCAGACTGGATGCTTAAAATTTGGCTTTTTTTTTTTTTCCCCTGAAAATGGGACTTTGGAAGCTAAAATGAGATTTTTGTGTCAGGAAATTAGGTTTTGGACACCAGATATTGGGCTTTGGGCTCTCCAAATGAGGCTTTGGGCCTTCAAAATCCGGCTTCCAGCCTTAAAAATTATGTGCTGAGCCCTTAAAAAAGAGTCTTTGGAAATTAAAAATGGGGATTTGTACCATGAAAATGAAACTTTGGGTCCTAAAAAAGACTTTGGGTACTGAAAGCCAGGCAGGCTTGGGCCCCCAAAATGAGAACAACTTAAAATTGGGGGTTTGGGTGGTCAGAAGCACACCCAAGATGTGGCTTCGATCATCAAAAATTACTGGCTGTAGCCTAAAAATGAACTTTGGACCCTGAAAAGGAGACTTTGGACTTTAAATACGACTATTTGAACCCTCAAAACTAGGCTTTGCTGGTTTAAAAATTTGGCTTTTTGTCCTAATCTTGAGACTTTTGTTATAAGAATCAGCATTTGCACTTTAGGAACGCGGGTTTGAACATTAAAAATGAAGGTTTTGACCTCAAAAATGATGCTTTGGGCTGGGGGCCCATCATCCCTTGGATCCATCAGCCTTTGTGGGTCACCTTTGGTGATCATCACTTCTTGGCCTGTCACCCTTAGGGTGTGTTCAACACCTTGGGCCCATCAACCTCAGGCTGTTTAACCTCCAAGGTTGACTGGGGTGACTGACTCTTTGTGCACGTCACCCTGGAGTCCATCACTTTGGGGCCCATGACCCTGGGACCCACCGCCCTGGGGCCCATCATCCTGGGGGTGATCACATTGGGTGCCCATCACCCTGGGGCTCATGATCCTGGGGCTTGCCACCTTGGAGGCCATCAGTCCTGGGCCACCAGTACAAGGGAGCTGGAGTGACTGGGAAAGAGTCCAGTGAAGGGCCCCTGAGATGGCCCATGACTGGGACCTTTTTGGAGGGTCCAGAACTGGTTGGCCTGGAGAAGACTTGTCTGTGAGGGGTCCCACCCAGGGTACAAAACTGGACACAGAGTGAGTTGGGGGGTTGCTTTTTTACTAGGTGAGTGACTGGAACTCCTTGGGGGGGTTCTGGGGTCTCCTGCTGATCCTCAAGGATGCTCCTGAGCCCGCCAGCACCCCATGAGGGTCCCTGCTGCACCCCGAGGACCCACAGAGCCTTTCTCGGCAGGGGGACAGCAGGTGACACTGGGGACATGGGGGGCTCAGCTTGTGCCCCAGGCCAGTGCATGGAGGCGGTGGGCAGCATCACGCAGCCGCCCGCGGTACTCGAGGCCGCGGTGCAGCCCGGGGGAAACGGGCTTCAGCCCCCTCTGCAGCCCCCAGCACCCTGCGGCGATGGTCCCTGTGGAGTCGCTGTCCCCACCATGCAGCACTCCCCTGGCACATAGGTCCTCCCAGGAGCTGCCAGCAGCCAGCAGGGCCTCCAGGGCCACCATGGGTGCGTCGTGACCACTGCGCCCTGCCCATCCGTCCAGTGCCCAGCCCAGGTACACTGCGTCCCGCTCAGCCGGCGATGGAAGGGGTGGCACCTTGGGTGGGCCACCACCCTCCAGAAGCCCCCGGGATTCCAGGTACCTGCAAGGACATGGGGACATTGAGGTCACTGGGGATACTGGTGTCAGCAGGGACACCGGAGACATGGTGATACTGGAGTCATGGGAACACTGGTTTCATCAGGGACATTGGCATCACTGGTGTTACCAGGGACAAGGGGGTAAACAGTGACACAGGGGGGCATAGGGCTGTGGCTCTCCAGCAGACCCTGTGACACCAGGTACCTGTGGGGACACTGGGGACTATTGGGACACCTGGTGGCATCATGGCAGTGGCTGCGGTGGGAACACCAGGGAAAACAAGGGACACAGGTCGAGGGTTGGGGGGTGGCCTTGGGCTGCATTCCCACAGCTGAGGATGACAGCACTGGTGGTGATAAGGGGACACTGGTGACCCTGCAGACAGACTAGGCACCAGGGTCAGCGGTGACCCCAGGGACAGTGGGCAGGGGACACAGGGACATTGAGGCACTGGGGCAGAGCAGTGACACCAGTACGGGGTACCACCAGGACTGGGGGAGAACCTTGTGGGCACCAGTGACCTCCCAGTATCCTCATCAGCCCCTCCCAGTGACACCCCCCCAGAACCTCACCGGTGCCAGGCATCCCCGAAGAAGGGCCAGGCAGCAGCGTTGTCCCCAACGGCCACCCCAGTGCTTTCCACGTACTCCCAGGCAAGGGGCAGGACCCGCAGCAGCTCGGCCCCCCAGCGCTCCGGGGGCTCACCCCGAGCCCCCAGTGCCCCAAAGAGGGCCACGGCCAGCGCCCCGAGGTACCCTGCAGGGACAGGGGTCTCAGCAGGGCTCCAGCGTCCCCTCCTCCCCTGTCCCCTCTCTGGCACCCACCGGTGGGATGGTGGTGGGTCATGCGCCCACTCTCGATGCTCACTCGGATCAGCGTCGGCAGCTCCGAGGCCCGTGGGTACCTACGGTGGCTCCAGCTCTGTCCCTGTCCTCCCCTGTCGCCGTCCCCATCTGACCACCCTTGTCCCTGCTGTCATTGTCCCCGCTGGCCCCACCACCTCCTCACAACTGCCTGGTGACCCTATGTCCCCTGCTCCCTGTTACTGTCCTCATGTGCTCTGTCTCCCAGGACTCCCTGTCCCCACTCCCTCATCTCACAGACCCCCCATACCTCCTGTCCCCAGCACCACCATATCCCCAGTCCCTGGTCCTTGTCCTGTCCAGCTCCAACATCTCCCGGTGTCCCCATCCTCCCCCGTTTCCCCATCCCCTTGTCCCCATCCCCTGCATCTCCCCACCATCCTCCATATCCCCACCACCCTCCATATCCCCATCACCCTTCAATTCCCCACCCTGATGTGTACCCACCCCCCCACCATGTCCCCTGTGTCCCCATTCCCACACAGGTCTCCTTTCCCCCCTTTTGTTACCATTCCCCCCATGTCCCCCATGTCCCCATTCTCCTCATGTCCCCATGCCTGCCATATTCCCATCCCCTCTGTATCCCTGTTCCCCCCCACTGTGTCCCCAAGCTCCATGTCCTCATGCCTTGTGTCACTGTTACCCCCCCATCGCCTCGTGTCCCCTTCCTTCTCGTTCTCACACCCTCATGTCTCAGTCTCCCAAGTCCTGGCCCCGCTGTGTCCCCATTCCCATGTGCCCCCATCTCCCCGTGTCCCTGTCCCCACCTGAGGCCGATGGCCAGGCTGCGCATAGCGGCCCCACAGCCGGTGCCTTTGGGGTTGAAGGGGATGCGATAGCCCTCGGGCTCCCCTGGCCGCAGCTGCGAAGTGCCTGAGGGGAGGTTGAGGGCGTGAGACCCCCTGACACCACCTGACCCACCCCAGCCCCTCGGGGGGTGCCATGCCCCGCTCCCCCGACTCACCCAGGATGCTGGTGGGCCCTGGCTTGCGACCCTCCATGTCACCCATGGCGGCCACGTAGCGGCGAGCCAGCTCCTGCAGGAGGGGTTCCCCCTCCAGGCCTGGGGAGGAACGGTGAGTGAGGACCCCTCTGGGTCACCCAAATTCGAGGGGAGGGAGAGGCCCCCACCCCTCCCCTAAAATGCACCCCTGAAAAAAACTTAAGGCAAAGAGGAATAAGTTATCCCCTTCCTTCCCCCCCTCCCCCCACCTCCTGCATTGCACCATCCCCAACACTGCCTCACAGACACCCCAAAACTGAGGGGGAAAGAGGACGTTCCCCTACAGACCTCAGAAGTGGAGGAAAAAGGCTCCCCCCACCATGGGCTAAAAAACCCAAGGTGAAGGGTGATTCCCTCCCCCAACACCCCCAACTGGAAGGGAAATGGGAAAACATCCACAAACATCCCAAAACGTGGATGGAGAAACAAGGCATCCTCCTCCTGAGCATCCCAAATTAGGTGGGAAAGGGATGATTTCCCCCCCAGATTCTTGGGCCCCAAAAATTGGGAGGGGGAAATGGTGCCCACCCCACACCCAATATGGCAGGAATGGGAACGCAAACTGTGGGGAAAAATAGGACACCCTCCACCCCCTGGGGAGAAATGGGGACCCCCTCCATTTTATTTTTGGGGAAATAGGGAGTCTCTAAAAGGAGGGGGGATTAGGATGTCCCCACGCTCCCTCCAGGGCTGGTCAGGGACCTCCAAGGGCCCCTCCCAGTGACCCTCCTGTTTGGGTTTGGGGTACAATGGGAACACCTCAAACCCTCTCAGACACCCCCTTCCCCTCACTCTGAGCAGCTCAGAGGCATAAAGAGGACACCCCAACTTCCCTTTGGACCTCCCCATACAGCCCGCGGGTACAAAGGGAACCCTCAGCACCCCCTCAGACCCCACCATGGGGACACAATCCCCTGGGGACCCTCCCCTGTGTCTGGAGGGGTGCGATGGAACACACTTCCCTCCCCCACCCCCCAATCTCTCCATCTAACCTGTGGCGAGGCCCTCAGCAGTGGCGAGGTGGAGGACGGTGTCATCACTGACAGGCCACTCGGGGGGCTCAAGGGAGATGGTCTCCAGCCCCCCCAGCTCAGCCAGCTCGGCGTGGATCTGGGATCCTGAGGTGCAGTATTCCCAACGAGCTCCCCGGTACCCCAGCGCGTCCCCCACCCCACTCAGCACCATCGCCGCTTCGTAGGCTTCCACCGGGGGAGGCACCCTGGGGAGAAAATGGGGGTTCAGGTGGTGCGGGGTTGTGGGGTGCTGGGGACCCCTGGGGACACTCACATCTCCTCCATTGCAGTGGCAGCTGGGGATGCCCATCAGTTCCAGGGCACAGGGCCAGTACTGGCCGGAGGCCCTTAAGGTGGATGACACCCCAGGGGCCAGAGGGGGGACACAGAGGCACTGTCCCCATGGCGATGAGGATGAGGGACCCCATGACTTCTGTCCCTGGGAGGCAACAGGGAAGGGAAAGGCTCCAGGGGCCTCCAAAATGTGCTGAGGGGACACCGGGAGCTCCCAGAGGGACGTGGAGGAGGGATCCAAAGAGGACCGGGGGTACCCAAAGGGACATGAAGGGGAACACTAAGGGGACCAGGGGGCACCCAAAACAAGGAGACAGGGGATACCCAAAGGGACCTGAGGGGTATCCCAAAGGGACATGGGAGCACATGGGGGGCACACAGGAGGCAGCCAAAAGCGGGGGGTGGGGGGGTGGGTTGTGGTCACCAAAGGGAATATTCAGAGGGAACAGAGGCCTCAGAAGGACTTGGGGACACCGAGGCTGGGTTTAAGCAGGTCCCAGGGAAAGGAGGGGACAAGGGAAAAAGGGGCATCCCCCCAGAGATATGTATTTTGACCCTGAGACATATTTTGGGGTGAAATCCCGTAAATCACGACTGCCTGGGCTCCCTCCGGGGCAGGGCACTGAGGCTTGCAGTGAATGGACTTGCAGCCCAAGTGGGATTGGCTCCCGCCTAAAAACCTGCTGGATTTTGCTCTTCAAAATGAGTAAAATTAATGTTTGGTGGTGGGCAGCGAGCAGTTAAAAGAAGTCCTTAAATTTCCGAGCCCTAATTACCGAGTCAGCAGCAAGGCCTTGGCGCGGGTCCAAGGAAAGTCTCAGAAAAGTGCAGCGTCTGGCTTTCCAGCACAAGGTTTTCATTCTTTTTTTTTTCTGTATTTTTCAACCAGATTATGCAAAGAGAGACACAAACCTATGATCTGTTGGTAAAAAGCGCATTGGGGTGCGTGTTAGGGTGTGGGTAGTAAAATAGGTAAGGAGGTTTAAATTTCTTTGTCAATTTGGAAAAATAATTTAAAAATAACCACAAGTCGGCACTGGGGGAGAAAGTGGGTGCGAGCTGGGCACACCCCGAGTCCTGCCAGCAGGGATGTTCCCCCCAGTTGCTGGGGGGAGTGGCAGGAGGGCACAAGGAGGGGGCCCAAAAGTCCAGCAGGCAGCAATGGTTGGGGGGGGGACGATGCGCTTGCCGATGGCCAGTGCGGGTGGCAGGCGGGCACGAGTGAGGTGCCCCCCAAGTCCTGGGGGGAGGGAGAGCGGGATGCCACCCGATGGTGGTGGAAGGCAGGCACAAGTGGGGTGCACCCTGAGTCCTGCATGAGGGGACATGCCCCCCAACAGCTGGGGGGTGTTGTGTGTGGCAGGCAGGCTGATATACATCCCCTTGGGAACAGCTCTGTGGCCACCAACGAGATCCCTGTGGCCACCAGTGAGGTCCCAGTGGCAACTGGTGATGTGCCCATGACCACTAGCTACTTTCCAGTGGCTACCTGCGGTTCCTTGTGGCCACAAGTTATGTCCCTGTTGCTGCCAGCGAGGTCCCCTGGCCACCAGTAGGGTCCTGTGGCCACCCAGTTGCCCTGAGCAGGATCACTGAGGCCACTTGTGGGTACTGGTGGCCACAAGTGATATTCCTGTGGCCACTGCTGAGGTACCAGGGGCCACAAGTGAGACCCCCACAGCCATATGGGATCCCTATGGCAACAGGGACACGGGCACATGGTGCCAGTTCAGGTGCTCTGGGATCAGGCAGCTTGCAAGGGGCTCTGGTCTCCAGCAGGTCCTCTGAGACAACGGCCAGTGAAGGCATTGTTTTCGGAGACACTGGGTCCTCTGGAGGTACCACTGACTGTCAGAGAGAGCAGAGCTGCCTGAAAAACTCAGAAGTTGCAACACATTTGTCAACACCTTCTACAACTACTCGAAAGGACATTGTAGAGAGGTTGGTGCTAGTCTCTTCTCCCAGGCAATTAGTGATAAACAAGAGGGAATGCCTTCAAGTTGCAACAGGGTAGGTTTCAAGTGAAGCTTAGGAACCAGTTTTTCACAGAAAGAGTGGTCAGAGAGTGGAAGAGGCTGCCCAGGGAGGTGGTTGAGTCACCATCCTTGGATGTGTTTAAGAGTCGTTTGGATGTGGTGTTGGGGGATATGGTGTAGGGGAGAACTTTGTAGAGTAGGGTAGATGGTTGGACTCAATGGTCCCGAGGGTCTTTTCCAACCTAAAGGATTCTACGATGTGTGGATGGATGGCTGGATGGATGATGGGATGATGGGATGATGGGCTAATGGAAAAGGGTCCGTGGAGAGATGGGTGCTATGCTGAATGGTAGGATAGGCAGAGAGGAGCATGAAGGTGGATGAAGAGATGGCTAGATGGAGAGGCGTGTAGATGTTGCTGGCCTGCATTGTGCCCTGTGTGTTGCAGCTGCGGCCGAGCCAGAGGAGGAAGCCCCATCGCAGCCAATCCTGGGCGAGCTGAGGGCCTCCCAGGTGACCCCCGAGTCGGTGCAGCTGGAGTGGAGCGTCCCCGAGGGCACCTTTGACTCCTTCACGGTGCAGTACAGGGATGCCCAAGGGCAGCCGCAGGTGCTGCCCGTGGACGGTGGTTTGCGCACGGTGACCGTGCCTGGGCTGTCCCCGTCGCGGCGCTACAAGTTCAACCTGTACGGGGTGTGGGGTCGGAAACGTCTGGGCCCCATCTCCACGGACGCTGTCACAGGTGAGGGGGCTGTGGGCAGGCTGTGGAGCGTGGCTTTGGGATGTGGCAGGAGCGTGGTCAGGGTGATTTGGGATGATTGGATGGATGGATGGCTAGACCTTATAACAAATGGCTGGGTGACGACTTGGTTGGTGTAATGGACGGAGACCGTGATGGATGAATGAATGGAGACCTTGAAGTATGGACAACTGGGTGGATGGATGAATGAATATGTGGACGGACGGAAGTATGGATGAGCAGTTGGATGATTGTGCATCTTGTTCAGTGTAATTCCAAGGGTCTTTTCCAACCAATTCTATGAGTCTAACATAACCTCAGCAGCTGAAACAGTTGGACACTTCAAATAAAATGTCTGTTTCCCATGGGCTCAAAATGAAGAGGTATTGGGAAGTGCACTGATGGCAAGAGGAGAGCTATTGACCTTCCATTCTACCTGCATTGCCAGTGCTCTCTAGATCAGGCTGTGCATTTCATCCCCCTCATCTTCCATGTATTTCCACCACTCCCAACTACACTAACCATGGCTGAAGGTACCTTTCCAGCAGCGCAGAAGCACTGGCGATTGCTCTCGAGATTTCCCTTCCCCTTCGATCATTCAGACACCTCTCAACAATCCAGTGGCTAATTTGAGCTTCTGGGAGTTAAATCCTTTCCTGTTTTTCAGTACTCTGCCTATTTTTTTCTTTACAATTTAGTTGTGCTTATTTGATAATTTTTCATCTCTGTAAAATATTTCCTTCATGGTTATGCCTTGTGGAAAGTGAACCTCATTGGTGGCACCTTGTACTTGGCACACAGTTGACGAGTGTGTTTTATTTAATGGTGAATCCTATAAGGTTTTTTTGCTAAAAAATAAGAAACTCCCTCTTTGCTGTTGTGCAGTACCTTGTAGTATGAATGAGTCCCTCTGAGGGCAAACACTGACAGAGCCTCCCCAGGGACTTGTTAGAGCAGAGAACAGGAGGCCATGATTGCAGGAAGGCAAAGGTGCTGTGCAGGCAGCTCAGGTGCTGAGGAAACCCTGGCTTTGTTTGATGAAGCAGAAAGGCCAAACCCTGACCCCAGGCCCTGGGAAGGCAGACCTTGTCCCTCACACATGGCTCAGGGCTCTTCCTGGGGAGCAGGATGCTGAGGGAAGAACGCTGGTGTGAGAGTTCCCAGCCTTGCTGGGTGTGTGCAAGGAGGAAATGAGCTCCACCATCCCCCCCTGCCCCCCAGGTGCCTTGGAACAACATGTCTCCTCGTAGGCCTTAGTGGCAGACACCATTGCCATAGCCAACAGGACAAACACTTGAGTTCTCCTGGTGACTTCCAGCCCCTCCAGTGCCTTTTGCCTTCTCCTCCACAGTTTGTCCTACGCTGTCCAACAGCTGCTTCTCTTTCCCTGCAGGCTGGAGACGATCATCTCACTTCCTTCCCTTGCTCTCACCCTGGCAGTTCCAGATATTCACAGGCATCTGTCCACCTTCACACTCTCTTCCTTGAGACACAAAGAGATGGATTCATCTCATATTCCTTCCGGATGGCTTCTCACACCACAGCACTGCACTTGCAGGGACATTTCTTCCACCTCATGTCCACTTTCCACATTCCAAGCTGCACTGTCTGGCAGTGTTTCTCTCCCCTGCGGTTTCCTACCTCCTTTCACCTGACCAGGCAGAAGCAGCCTCACCATGATCTCCCAGGGCTGCTGGTCTTTCAGCTTCTCAGATAGACAAGATCAAGCTGTATGCCTGTTGCTGTTCCTCCACGTACAAAGGCGTGACAACCAACATATGAGCCCCCTTCTCAGAGTGAGCCTCGGTCCTACAGCAGAGGGATCTCCCTGCCTATGTGCCAACCAGGTGCCTTCTGCTGCCTGTCAGAGACACTGCCAGATAGGAGCTCAAAAGCACAGAGCCCTGTCATGAGTCCAGGGCCGACCCATCAGCTTTTCAGAAAGAAGTGACATCACAGTCCCTTCCCAGCCACGTTCCTGCTTTTGGCCTGTCCCCTCCAGAGGCAAAAGTGACCTCACAGATCCCTTCACAGCCACTGGCTTCCTTCTAGATGGTGAATTCCTGAGACACAATTGACCACATGATTCAGAATTCAAGCATTAAACTACTTTTGGCCTGGTCCCTGAGCTCTGGGGAGATGCTTCATCAAATTAATCTCACAGATTTTCTACCAACACTTTGAGTGGATAAACGTTCCTCAGAGGAACTACTGTATTTATACGGGTGCAATTTGTATCTCTACTTCTGCCTCCCTGTTGCTTCTTCTTCCTCTGTCTGTTCTGTCTCCAAGGAAAGGTGTTCCAAAATGGCGGTCAAGGCCTGGAAACTGAAGGGTGAAAGCAGTATGTGGCTGCCAGGAGAACTT